ATGTAATCAGAGGGAGGGAGGGGGAGGGGGAGAGGCGAGCAGCCGCCCCCAGGAAGGGTGTCCTGATCCCAGGGGGCCCCCCCGGATGGCCCCTGTTGCCCTGGCCTGGCTGACTGACTGGGCACGCTGGCGGGATCTGGGGACCCCCCAGAGGAGCGGGGGATGGTATGAAGTCACCCGTCTTCACTGGCCGGGCTGGGGGGCCTGGGCACAGGGTGGGGCTGAGGTTCTCCACCAGGTGGCCAGAAGAGGTTTCCCAATGCCATCTGCCCTCCTGGCTGGAGAGAGACACGACCCCTTCCTGGCTCCAGCAGCACCTACCTTGGGTGGCCGAGGTGACCAGGACGGCGGTGACACAGAGACTCCAGAGCACAGCAGCCAGGCGGGCCATGGCGGCGTTCAGGGGTACGTCCTGGGCTCTCAGTGGCCTGAGTGAAGGACCTCGCCCCGCATCACCAGGTGGGCACCACAGCCTGGCCCACCAGCCTAGGGGAGGACAGGGGGAGTGAGACAGGGGACAGGGTGTCCCCCAGAGGAAGTGGGTATCGGGGCCACTCCCCTTCTCTCCTGCCGTCGGCTGAGGGCTTCCCTCCCACAGCCCAGAGGGGCCATGTCCAGCTCCTGCCTGGACCTTCTGCATCCGACGGAAGCTGCCCCCGGGTGGAAGGCTGCCCAGTCCCTGCCTCCAGCCCCCACCAGGTCTAGGCGCCTCTGGCCAGATGGACTTCCCCTCTGGAAGCTTCTCGGTGGCTCACGGGTTCGTCACAGGTGCTAAGCGCTTCCTACCTCTGCGTTCCCAGACCCTCCCGGCCCATCTCTGCCAGGAGGCACCTCACCCACGAGGAGGGAGCCATGGGCATCCTCCGGTGGGGGCCCCGCAGCCTCCTGGCCTTGGCAGGGATCCAGGCCCCTCCCCGGCCCCCAGCTTCCTGTCTCTCCTGCTCTGGTAGCTAATTAGAATCCAGCTGGCTGGCGCCACAGATCAGGGACCAGGGACACCCGAGTCCCCTCTTTCCTTCTGGGGGACCCTCGGGGTAAGCTGGAGACAGGCAGGCGGGCGGGAGGCGGGTGCTGCTCCCTGAGGGACCGGGAGGGGCGAGTGTGGTGTGGCGGCTCCCACCCCAGGCGCGCTGGGCCCTGGCCCATTCCTTGCTCCCCGTGACCACTCCATGGTCTCACCTCTCCCGCTGCTCCGTCCCCAGTGGACGCTCTCCAGACGCGCACCCAGATCCCCCCTCAGCTCCCTGCTCCAGCGACAGCCCAGTTCTCCAGGGGCAGCCCCCACTCAGTGCCATCGGTCTTGCCAAGAACTTGCTAGAAACCCGAATTCTCTGGAAAGGGCCCTCCAGAGTGGGAACCCTGGCTCCATCCTCGAGAGCCCCCCTTATCCCAGCCTGTCCCTTGGGGTCTCAGCGCTGACCTATCCCAAATCTCTCACTTCCGTCCAGGATCTAGCCGTGTTTTTACCCCATATTTGAGGCCCCTGCCACGGCCCTGTTGGCTCCAGTCCCCATTTCTCTCTGAGCAGGTCCTGCCCCAGGGCCTTTGCTCTTTCTTGTCCACGTGCAACTTTTGCCAAGCTACTCCATGGCCCTGCTTCAGATCTTGGTCAAACGTAACTGTCCAGTGGTGTATGAACTCCCCCGGGGCAGGGATCGCTGGATTGTTTTCTTCATGACCGCACCCCCATATTTTAGAAGAGACCCAGCGCACAGCGATGGATTACTTGTCGAATGAATCCCAGACCTCAGTTCCTCACCCTCTGTCATCTCCCTTACCAATTCCACCCGCATGTCCTGTGGGCTCTGCCTCCAAAGCCTCTGGCCCACTGTCCACTTCCGGCCCCCCAGCACCACCACCCAGGACTAGGGCACCATCCTGCTGGACCTGGATCCTGTCCCCATCCAGCTCCTGGTCTCCCTGCCTGCCCCACACCCACTGCCACTCGGAGCGGGGCATCACGTGGTGACGTAGATCCGAGCGCTAACCTTCCCCTGGGCGCTGAGGCTGCAGGTGAGCTGGCACCATTGGCTTGCTAATCCCTGCTTCCTCTTCCCTCTTGCTCTTGGAACCTTCCAGAACCTGAGTCTTTCGGCTCTTCCCTCGGCCTGGATGCTCCCCCAGGATCCCTGCACGTGAGCGGCGGCTTCTGATCATCATTCAGAGCTCAACTCCAAGGTCACCCCCGCAGAGTGACCTGCTCCAGCCCCCCAACCACACAGTCCCCTCCCCTGTTGTAACTCAGCTCCCCACTGCCCCAAATCACCTTTC